AATAGACTCAGCCTTTGTGGCCAACATGAAGAAATCCTGGAAACATGTTTACACGGCATTGATATTAATTTTCTGGATTTGTTTAAAACATGTAGAGTCCACCGAGATCTAATTATGGGGAAGCCTTTATTATTCATGCTTTGCCCTAACAGACTAATTAATTTATCATAAAATAGTAAGGCATTTTCTGATTTTCTTATGTTATGCATTTATTTCCATAATTGATCTTTGTTTTACAAATATATCTTTTAAGTTGCCTCTCACATGTTCTAAATTCAGCAGCTGTACTAAAGAGATTTCATCCCCCCTGAAATGATCTGAATGCATTAGTCACTCTGCTTCAACAGGAAAAAAGATGAAACCAACAGGAAAAGAAAACAATTACCAAAGACCTAATCATGGCCACAAGTACCTATGTGATTTATATGGCCCTAAAAGCTGTTTAGGAGCATATCGTGACAGAATGTTAAGTGTGATTAGGGACAGTATGTTAAACATTTGGCCTGTTGTAATCAGTTGGAGAGCTGCGTGGATGGGCTTTGGTTGGGAGGGGAGGGGTGGGGTGGGGTGGTGGTGGTTATCTGTGCCTGTAACGCTACAGGAGGTGCCAAAAGCCACAGAGACCACAAACCAGTCTGAGTATTTGGCACCTCTGCAGCTGCTGCTCACATACTTCCACCCTCTCCTCTCACCAAGGGCCACAAGCAAGCACAGGATAATCTTATTTTATCTGCCTTTCAGACAGCCCAAATGGCTGAGATTAAACCTGCTACATGACCCTCACGACCAGGGTACTGACATGTATACCCCCAGTTTATTAGAGCACCTAAGGTTAAAGTGAGATGAGGAAACTGATAAGGGACTGGCCTGAAAATGCCTGGATGAGTTTCTAGCCGTAGCAAAAAAAAAAAAAAAAAAAAGTCTGCACCTATCTAAATTTTAAAAAAGCTGTGTCATGAATACAAATCAGTGAAGACTCCACTGAGGCGCTTAGCAGCAGGGTAAATGTTTAAACAACCTGATGCCAGGACATTTACAGGTGGTTAAACATACCAGAGAACAGCGTTTGTCCATACTCTGGATTCACACAGCTGGTTCTTTTAGATGTGAATCAGTTTTAGGAGAAAGAAGACATGCTATGATTGTTTTGAGATTCCATACAAGAATTTCAAAGTCGGTATAAAAACTTTTAATTAATGTAAATTATCTAAGCTAGGGTACATGCAGTGTCTGTGACAATATGCAACGCCTGGTGGTTGCAAAATTTGCATGACACGACTGTCATTTTATTCAATTATGTAAAATACAACACAAAGTGTTGTCATGAATTCGAGCCGGATCAACAATGGAAACCAAGCTGATTAGTGTTTTTTATTCTGTGTCATGCTTTACTTTTACGCATAATAGCTGATTTGTGTTTCCTACCAAGTGTCAATTTTGTAGTTTGTCCATACACATACCTGTATTTTCGTGCCTCTTTGTTTGTCTTCAGTATTTGTGCAGGCGTCTTTTGCAGTCAAACCAAAAACATTGTTAAGAAAAAAAATCCCTACACAGAAACTTTTTTTAAAGTAGTTTACATACCTCTCAGCTTTTTATTGAAAACCTTAGCAAAATATTGGCTGAATTTTCTAACTCTGGGTGACGCTGTGGCTGTTTTCCAAAAGGTGGACTTTTGAGACATTTGTTCCCAGTGGCATATGCCAGGATTACTGCTCCCGGTGTCACCAAAAGCCTTTCCTGCCTCCATACCTGGAGGTGTGTGAAGTGGGCAAGATGCAATCTTCAAATGGCTTTCATGTGATGTTGAAGACTGTCTGGCAATCAGATTGATTTCTGACCATCATTGTGATTAATGTGATGCTCACTGCTATGGCAAGATTAACAATATTCTTACCATTAATTAAAATCACCTCAGTGAGAGAACAGATGGCAAAACCCATTAATCTGCTGTAATGTTCTTACTGTCACCACACACATCTTAATCAAGCCGTGATCTGCATTAATCACCTGACTTAAATGGCAAACAAGTATCACTCCTGTGTTAGCCTGGCTTTGTTTGTGGCCAGACCTCTGGTGACCTTGTAATGATGTATCGATCAGAAAAAAACACTCGGGACACGAGTGGCTGAGGTTTCTCATCGAGCCAGTTAGCTCATTTACACTGTAGGATGCGCGAAGAAAATCGCAAATGAACAGATCATCACAACCTGTGGAGCTGCTCTTTTAATCGCTATGTCTGTACCGACTAAAATATTTTATCAGCAGCTGCTCAGTTGTTACCTTGAATCCATTGCAGCACAGAGTGGTAAGTGTGTGAGACATTTGATAAGATTAAAGCATAATCCTCTTAGAGGCAAACAACTAATTTGCCTGATAATTCTGTATTACCTTCTGACTCCTCATAGCCATAAAATCCTGGATTTTAACACCCAGTCAGCATGGGGCCATTGTGCTGAAGGCTTTGTGTGTCTGGTAATGGCAGAAAAGTATCTTATGTTTGAGCCCCTGCTGGCTCAGTGTTCATATGTTCAGCATGATCTTGTTTTTAATAAAGGTTGAAAATAGAGATGCGGACTAACAAATAGCCAAAAATGACTAGATATAGAGGCTACATTTCATTTTTACACTTAACTCCACATCATAACATATCTCACTTAGTGCTGAGTAGCACAAATGGTTACGCAATGCTGTTACACTTGCAAGATTAACCATTTAGGTTAGATTTGCATTGGCTTGCCTTGGCGTTTAGCCCAAAATACCACTTGATGTAATCATTTGTGGCAGTAAACAGACCTCAGCATATAGGAAAACCCACTTGTTGACTCGATGCCTTATGGATTGGAGGGCAAGTTCTGAACATCCATTTCTGTTGTAATGTGATCAGACTGAGACACGTTCCAAGTTCAATATGAATATACTGCAGCTTTCAGTGCCATACATTATAAATTAGCCTACTCTGCTACAAAGTGTTGGAACATTTTGTTATTGTTTTTTGTTAATGCTGCCTGGTGTTCTTGCCAAGAACAGCAGGCATCGTTATTTGAAAGAAAAAAAAATCTATTTTCACATTTAGCAAGCAAAATTGGGCTTGTATAACACTCTAACTATGGCAGCAGCTCCTTATCACCTCTCACTGACAAGTATCTCTGGTCTCTGTGGGTCTTTATTGTGTGCTTTTTTGCACCTTTCAGTGTGTGCCCTCTTGGGGGGGCTCAGACAGATTTAACCCAAACTTTTGTGAGGCGTCAAGAGCCCTTTGAAGGGTAATAGACGCCTTTTAATCAGCAGAAGCTAATCACCCATATGGTTGACAAAGGCCTGGTTGACTCATGCTCTTTTGTTATCACTGTGAGGGCTGTTGCTGTTGTGTGTGCATGTGTGCGCGAGTCTCTGCAAGTCTGTGTGTGTGGTATGATTGGGAATCAATGCAGTCCTTTTTGACTTCTTTATTTTTCAGACTTCCACAGTTCTTGTTATAGAACCATTGTTGAAAGGGGTAAATTAAGTACGACTGGGTGTTTATTACAATACAGATGGTCTTGATTATACTGGCAGGTTTTTCCTCTAACACAGAGTTACAGTGATATTCTATGTGTAATTAACATTGTGGGTGTCCAAAACACAGCACTAATCAAATGACACTTGTTTGGCTTTGTGGGTTTTCTCAACCGCATTACGCTGGAATTCCTCCTCCACTATTTGAACAGATGAGACAGTATTTGCAGATGCTCAATCCCAAAATAAAAAGAATATTTAAAAAAAACATACATGCTTTTCCTTATGCATCGTGTTTATTTGCAACATTTACACGGATAAATGTGGAAGGAGAAAAAAACTGCAAAAATAAATATGTATGGATTTTTATTAAGTTTAAATGTCAAAATATGAGCACTATGTGATTTTAATATGTGTGAAAATGAATATAAATGAATGTCATTAGATATGGGACCCTCCATTATTAGATCTTTCCTAGTTCCTATTTTGCATTTTCTCCTGCCTTTAAAGACAGGCTGGAAATAACTAAATACATTAACTCACTATTGTGTTCTGCTGCTTGTATATATATTACATTTTCACGCTATATTATATTTCTACTTAGTTCAGAGGGAAATGTAGAACTTTTTTCCTGCATCACATTTAATTGACAGCTATACTCATATGATAATCTTGGGCATATGTATGTACAAATGCATTATTAAAGAGCCAGTAGGTATAAACTTGTTCAAAATAGTACCACCTCCACAACATTAAGATGCTCCTCACTGTTAAAACATCCACAGTAATATTGCTGTAATAAAATGTTTATAAGAAAACACATGCAGGCAATCATTCTGCAACATTTTTATTTTTAACTTTATGCATTTGCTCCTCCTTGTGTAATGAGTATTGTTGTTGCATTGTGGCTTTTCTACTTCAAACATCTTACATTTCTTCCATCAATACCTTTCTTCCTCACATTTTAAAAGCATCACTCCCCGCAAAGCGAAAACTGCACTTAGACTGCCAATCATGCTCAAAATATTTTCTTATGTCATGGCCCCTGTTAACTTTTTTCTACTTCTCAGTAATTACCACCAATGTATAATTTCACTGGCATATGTCCATTGCGCTTTAATGTCTTTACATCCTAGCTTCTGCATAATGTCCTTCTAACTTCCTCTGGTGGCATGAAGTCCTATTATATGCAGTCCTCCAAGTAATTTAGTTAGTTAATTAATGGCCCTATGTAGATTTATTTAGAAAACAACCTTATCAGCCTGCACAAAGCCCCACAATCGGTTTATTCAATGAACCATTTGCACCCCAAACAGTGAACAGAAGTGGCAAACGTGTTCCGTTTGGTGCAGGACTGGAAGGCCATTGGTCGACTGGGCAGCCTATTTGCATATACCGGAGCTTATAGTCCCGCAGCAAAGTCGGAGTTGAACACCGTTGTGATTCGACCTGACATAGCACAAGTGGCGGATTGCTTGCATGATTTATGACCCTTTTTTTGTGCGGCATTCAGCAGCCCTCCAATATGACCGTTTGCAAGATTGCAGCAGCTGGGCTGTGCGTGGCGCTTGTTTTATTTTTAAATACTGCTCATTGTACAACTACAAGGTATTTCACCTATGAAGAAGACGCACCCGGGACAGAAATAGGTAATTTGTCTCAAGATTTAAAGATTGATCCAGCTGATGACCCTGACACTTCATTCCGCTTTATGCAAGAGAATAACTTTTCTGTGATTCACATGAGAGAGAACGACGGACTTCTGAGTGTCGCAGAAATAATTGATCGAGAGCAGCTCTGCCCCAGGACTCCCCGTTGCTTCATCACCTTCGACATCGTGGCCTTATCCAGGGAAAAGTTTCAACTCATTCACGTGGAGATCGAGGTGAAAGACATCAACGACCACTCTCCCAATTTTCCTCTCAACGAGACAACTCTGGAGATAGTAGAAAATGTGCCACTGGACACTAGATTCCCTCTGCAAATCGCCCTCGACCAGGACGTGGGAGACAACTACATCCAAAGCTACAACACTTCCTCCTCCAGCCATTTCTCCGTTGAAGTACGCGATCAGGAGGATGGGGTGAAGTTTGCTGAACTGGTGCTGGTGAGGCAGCTCGACAGGGAGGTGGAGGACTCCTACACTATTGAAGTCACCGCATATGATGGGGGAATGCCTGCAAAGTCCGGGTCAATGACAGTGAATATCAAAGTCTTGGACTTTAACGACAACAGCCCGACTTTTGAGCACAGCTCTCTGAAAGTTGAGCTGAATGAAGACTCTCCGGTGGGCCACCGTGTTCTCAGAGTGCACGCGTTTGACCCCGATGACGGCATAAATGGCGAAGTGATGTATGCGTTCTCCGACGGGCTGTCGTTAGAAGCTGCGCGCCTTTTCCACCTCGACCCCCACTCCGGTGACGTGACCCTGAAGGCGCTTGTCGATTTTGAGAAGAGGAGGTCATATGAGCTGAGCATCAAAGCGTCTGATTTAGGCGCGAACTCTGTCCCCTCCACCTGCAAAGTTGTGATAGATATCGTGGACGTGAACGACAACGCACCAGAAATCAGCATCAAACCCATGACCTCCAGCAGTGATGGAGTCGCCTATATCACGGAAGCTGCAGCTGCAGAGAGCTTCGTGGCTCTGATCAGCACCTCGGATAGAGACTCTGGCTCCAATGGGTACGTGCGCGTTAGTCTGCTCGAGCACGAGCATTTCACCCTCCAGCAGGCATATGGAGACACATTCATGATCGTTACCACCACCACTTTAGACAGAGAGAAGATACCAGAGTATAACCTGACTGTGGTTGCAGAAGACCTGGGAAACCCACCTTTCAAAACTATCAGACAGTACACTATCCGTGTAACAGATGAGAATGACAACTTCCCTCTGTTCAGTAAGCCACTTTATGAAGTTTCAGTCCTGGAAAATAACATCCCAGGCTCATATGTGACCACTGTTGTTGCTCGAGATCCTGATATGGGAAAAAATGCCAAAGTCTCATACAAACTCCTCGATTCAGAGGTATCAGGCGGCTCTTTAGTGTCCACTTATGTTTCTGTGGATTCACTCTCAGGGTCTTTGTATACTTTAAGGTCCTTTGATTATGAGATGCTTCAGGAGATTGAGCTGGTCATCCAAGCAGAAGACAAAGGTTCCCCTGCTCTGTCAAGCACATCAACAATCAGGGTCAGAGTTGTGGATCAAAATGACAACTATCCATATTTCACCTTCCCTGTCCTTGTGAATGACTCTGCTGAGATTCCTTTGCCCTTTAATGCACCTCCTGGCTATCTTGCTCTTCGTGTAACAGCTGAAGACGAGGATGATGGAGTGAATGGAGAACTCTCATACCAAATTGTGCAAGGTGATCTGAAGCTTTTTACAATGAACAAAGACACTGGAGAGATTGGTTTAAAACAATGGCTGACAGCTGAAATTGGGGACGTGCTGGAAATGAAAATCGCAGTGAGTGACAATGCCAGGTCCCCGCTCTCTAGCAGTGCCACTATTAGGTTTGTCGTCTCAGACACAGAGCCCTCCGAAGACCAAGTTGTCATTGTGCTGCGGTCAAGTGATGAAGAAAGCGCCGGCGTTGATGGCTCACTAATTATCATCATTATGCTCGGTGGGGGTTGTGCATTGTTGCTGATTGCAATAGTGGTTGTAGCTGTGACATGTAAACTCAGACGTGGGGGGAGAAGCCGTGGCGCCAAGAGAGAAGTGTGTCAGAGCCTGTTTGATGGCAGGCCCCTGCCCATGCTCAGTTCAACAGAACCAAACATTTACACAGGTCAAGGAGGCTTCTTCCATGAGAGGACCTCTTTGTCTCTCGATGATTCCTGCCTGTACGAGGAGAGAAGCAGGGACTCTGAGACGAAGGTGAGTAAACTACATTTAGTCTTGTTTTTCTGTTTTATTTTCCCTCATATTTTTATAGGATGTTTCCTAGTACTGCTTTGATCTGTGTGCCAGAAATGGAAACTAAGCTCTCTCTTGTCACTTTGTTCTCTTAGATGTTCCTGCCCTCCAAGCATTTCCAACCAACATCTGTGTGGCAAGGTGACAAATACTGCTTGCAAGTGAGGTAAGACAACTAAATGAATGTCTTTTCTCAGATCCAATGCTTTACAAACAGTGAAATCAAACTAAAAAGAGTTTCTTAAAAAAAAAAAAACAGTACTTCACACACACACGCACACACAGTCACAGACACAAAACATACAAGTTGCTTGTGGCATTTATGCAAAATGAGGTTAGATGGGCAACAAAGTCCCGTGCTGTGTATGCAGAGAAAAAAAATCATCAATAATCAAGCTAATGTGATGCAGTTGTGCCTCATACTGTATTTGTTGATTGCATTTGCAGTGGGATGAGCAACACTGATCAGCTGAGCGTGAAGGACAGTGGTAAAGGGGACAGTGACTTCAACGACAGTGACTCTGATATCAGTGGCGATGGAGTCAGAAAGAACTTCAGAACCTTCCAGCCGAGGCTAAAGAGTGAGTTTTCCTGTATGTGTTTTGAAGTTCAGATAAAGCAAACCTTCACCAGAAATATATAAATGATCAATTATTTTAAAATATATGTAAAATCTTAATCTATAAATGCTCACCATTATTATTTTATTAAATTCATATTGCTTCTATTTCAGGTGCAGCTAACGGCTTATCAGAGGATTGCCAAGGCACCTACTGTGCAATACAGCCACAGAGCTTCCGAGCCCTTAGAAACACTGCATACACAATAGGCTTTTCCCCAGCGCCTGTCTTCAACAATCCTCATGGCTGCCCCGAGTCTTGGAAGGACTCTTGTTATGGCACAAGTCAGCCCAAGTCCCGGAGCAGCATGCAGACCTTCTCCAGGACCAGAACCCTTCCTTCCTACTACCCTCAGCAACAACACGAGGCTCGTGGTGCAGTCAGGCAGAGCCCAAATATTGTGACTGTGGCTATAGGTTCGGAAGTTGCAACTGTCTTTTAAAAAAAAAGGTTATTCCAAGTGTACATAGAAAGTGTAAATATTTTCTGTTGTCCATGTAGTTCATTAAAACATGTAGATATTTATGATAGAAGACATTTTTTCATGACTGCATTTTTTAAAATGTAATTTTACATCTTTGAAATTCACTTTAATGCACTCTGCACTCTGCACACTGCTCATTCTTTTTCCAATAAAGGTGTGATTGAAATACCGAAAAGGCTCATTCATTAAAAGATTTTTTTCTCCAAATGAGGTGACACGGCGAACATAATAAAATATTGCCAATGAATCTATTTTAATTGAACAAAATTCAGCTTTTCAAGATGAAGTGGTATCCCCTTGCCATCAGAAACCCCTGCCTGAATTGGTAAACACATAGAACTGTTCCCGCAGTTTGAATTGACATGATCAAAACTCCAGTCAGATATGATCAGATGTAAAACCTGATGCTGCTGCATTACCTGAGAGACTGGCTTTGAAGACTCCTAGGTTGCTCCGTGGAGTTTCTTGCATGCAAATGAGAGAGTAGAACTGGTACTCAAGTGGAAAATAAAGTACGAACCATTATTCCTACAAACTCATGCTGGGTGCTGTCACACCTGCTTTTGCGCTTTGAAATAATTCACATCACTGTACACAACACAGAACAACAGGTATTATGGTGCTTGACAAATTCCTGCCTGTCATTGCTGTGAGGGACAAATCCGTAGCCCGTGAATATAAATTCATGTACATTTATTCAGAAAATAGCACATAAATATACAAGTAATATACAGTTTTCTCACGCAACTTGTCCTCTGACACTGATAAACCATGTTCTTGCCAAGCTACTCTTACATTTGCCACACTGGTTGCTATTTTTCAGCTCACTTCAACCAGAAATATTTAGTGACAGTGCGAAGTGCCTAAGGTCCCAAAAAGGTTTATTGATGAAACACTGATGATTTTTAAAAGCCAGATATACAGAAACCTGGCCTACAATTAGCCAACCTTGACATGATTTTCAATCTCAAAGCTGTAATGCTTTTACTGTTTGTCTCCCCAGAAAGACCCATCATTGCTGAATACAAGTACAAATCCAGGACAGCTGCAGGAATCCAGAAAGCCTATACCTAAATTATGCAGGAAAAAGATCAATTAAATACATCTCTCAATCAAGGGACCATATCCATGGGGAAGTGCTTGAGTTTTCATCAACAACTTCAAAAGTACGGGCCAGTTTTAATACTGCTTTTCATAAACATCTTTCAAAATTTTCTTCTGAGCTGCGTTACTTAAAGGTTAGTTGGAAATGAGCATTTTAAACAGTATTCAATACCTGCTGATTTTCATCTGCTCATGTCCAAATTTGTCACAATATTCTGTCCTCATTATTTTAAAGGTCGATTTAAATAAGCTTTTGATTTATGGAGGCAAATGAGACAAGAGTTGAAGCTGTGGCAAGTTACATAACAGCCATTTAAGGGACATTACTTAAGAGGAAATAAATAGTTGTGGAAAAAAAGCTGTAGAAAAAAAGAGCTCTCAGTGGAATCTGATGACAGCCTGAGCCATTACTTTTTTTTTTTCTGTTTTCTGTTCATCTGCAGGAAGCGGGGGCTAAGGGCAGTGCTCATTTGCATAAGCATAAATACCTGCTTTTTTAGTTTTTGATAGCTGTGATAAAAGCTGGAATGGAGTGGATTTGATGCCTTTTACATAACACCTAAAGCACTAACAGAGTTCTCACACATCACCTCAATGTGCCTCATGAATAAAGGACAATGTTCAAACCTTATTCCATATTTAATCTGTCATGGCCACTGTTTTTTATTGAATGCTTGTATTCTGCAAAGTCACTCCAGTTTGAATATTGCTAAGTTATTCAAGGCCATGCAAAACAAAAGGCAAACGATTAAAAAGAAGGTCATATTTGTGCCCCCAGTGATGTGTACTGGTCTGACAGATATCCAATTGTACACAGAAAGAAAATGCATTTATCAATCAATACAGTATGGTTCCCTTCGTCATTGCTTTCTATGCTCCTTGTAGGTCAAATAAGTTGTGCACTGACCTGACAATTTATGCCACAAGGTACATTTATAAACACAGTTTGTTATAAATTGCGTGTCTGTCAGAAAAGCCATTGTTAGCAGGCACCATGTTCATTTATTTTCAAATGGATTTCCCATTAATGTCCTGCAGCAGCTCTCGCAGTGCATTTGAAATCTCCTCATAGTAGTAGAAAGTGAGCGTTTTAGACCTGGTTTTCAGCTCATCAGTAGTCTACGGACAAATGAGTCAGATCTGCATACGTCATTTCTAGCCTCAGCACCTGTGGTTTATTTTTGACAAATAGCTAACTATGTGACTGTGATTATGCTGTTATGGTCTCTTAGCATTTCAACTTTGAGACACAATTCCCTAGTGTACCCAGCATGTACAGATGGAGCTTTTTTGAATCACTGTCATTTTGTGCTTCAGGCCAAACCCAGAATGCAATGTTTTGTACGTCTCGCACCTCATCTTCATCTTTGTCTGAACTGCCAAGTGTGGGTATTGACTTTTGGATGCTTTGAATTGTGAAGCTGGTGTGAAAAAAATAACACCATTTGTTTTCCACTTGACAGTTTTTTCTAGAAGCAAAACTTTTGTTTATGTTCATTTACTATTAAGATGTCATCTGCATCATTTACATGTAAGCCTATGTCAAACTATGGTGTTTTACTCCTGTGTAAAGTAAATGCCTGTAATTGTGACAGTGAATGAAAAACTGTTATTATGTTTATTGAGATTATGGATTCAATTTAATCACCGACTAGCAGAAACCTTGATTTTATGACTCACTATCCAGGCCACACTGAGATTATGAACAATCTTAAAGGACGGTGTGTCACTTTGGGAAGAAAAAAACTGATTTGTTTTCTTGCTGAGAGCTGAAGAAGATCAGATAAGAAGATCAATATCACTTATATCAGTCGGTGGGATCCAGAAGCTCATTAGCTTAGCTTAGCTTAACAAGGCAACACATAACAGAACAGATTTATTGCTTGACCAATGCATGCTGACATGTGGCCTTCATCTGGCAATTCTTAGCTTAGCACAAGGAGCTGAAATTGGGAGAAACAGTTAGCCTTTTCTCTTTGGTTGCAAGGCAACCAGACTGCTAAAGGTCACTGTAATTGTAATCTCTATAAACAGATATCTGCATGTGAATATGCAGGCTCTGTATGCAAGGGACAAGATTTTTCATACCAGACATTTTCTGGTTTCCATCTGTCGTCATTTTGTAGTCCGAGTAATACAGAACAGTCATTTCTTTTGAGTTTGCATACAGAATAACTGTCTGTGCAGAGAGAAAGAGAAATCCATGGTCTAAAATGAAATCTAGAAACCATCAGCCATCAATTTCTGACAGTTTAGCTTCTTAATAGCTTTTTTTATTCAGCATCCATCGTTGGACGGCAAATAGCGATTGGGAACAGGGAGTGGTGACCTGAATATCAGGTTATCCCTTATTTTGCGTAGCTGCTGGTTACACCTCAAACCCCCAGGGGCAAGTCATTAGCGGATAGCTGATAGATTCTCTGATAACTGTATTTGTGGGATACCGGGACAATAAATACTTCTTCACATAGATGACTGCAGATTGTTTTATTCTTGTTTATGTTATTGCTGCCGAAGGTATGTTCTTAAAATAGGGCAGAGCCAGGATTGTCATTTCCCAATTTCTCATCTTGGAGCGAGGCTAAGCTGATTGGCTACTGGCTTCAGGTTATTATTGAATGGACAGATACGAGTATGACATATCTAACCTTTTATGTAACCTGCAAAAAGAAAATGAAATGCAGTATATTTATCAAAAATGTGGAACAATTACCTTAACCTAGAATTCTCAGCTAGCCAACTCCCCCTTTCCTGCTCTGTTTGATCACACACTGCATAAAAATGAGTCTTGAAAAGTAAAGTAAAAAAAAAAAAAAAACTCTGGATTAGGTCTCTTGCCTGGATCACAACCAGTAATATTCCGTACCCAATGCCAGACGCTCAGACTGTAACAAGTGATCACAGTGTGCTGCCTTCAGTTGCACTGCTGCCATTCCTGCACTCAGCCTTAATTAATACAAGGTGTTCTTTCAGTTCTAGACTCTATTGTTTAATATTTGTGTCTTTACCTTATGAAATACTGCTTTTGAATATTTTTAGGACCCAGGCGCGGAGCTCTGAATGCAAACAGTGCGTTTATTTACAGTGAAAATGGAAAACATAACAATACATCCCCAGTGCGTTCCCGACTCCGGTGACATGTCGTCTTCCCAGTCTAGTATTCCTGTCTCCGCTTCTCAGTGTCTGAGCATCCCGTGCTCACTGCCCTCTCGTCTCCACGCTTCTCCTGGGGAAATAACAGAGAGGCCGCCGTCAGACACACCACCATGCAGCAGACTAAACTTAGTAACTGGTCAAGAGACTAACGTGAAGCCATGCAATGATCCAGTGTCGGCGAGAGCTCCACCACACTCTTAAGTAGCTCCTCCAACGGGGCTTGATCAGCTGTGTGATGGTCTTCAGGTGTGGCCAACCACCTGGCAGGGCCACACCTACCAGGCCTGAAGGCGCCTGTAAACAGGTGCTCCCAGACACACACATCCACACACACATACCTGCAAGCAGGGAGAACGAGGGACAGCATATAATATAATACAGGTCCATAACTGCTCAGGGACCCTGGATCGCTCAGATCCAGGGTCTATTTTAAATTATAAGTCTAGATACCTCTCAAAAAAGGTCTTTTGGGTTGTTTTTGCTGTTCTTTTGTTTTAAATGAACAGCCTTTAACTATTAATTCAAACCTTTAATTATAAATTGTTAGTTATAAATCATAAATTGTTCTCAGCTTGTGTCTATTTACAATGTAATGAAAAGAAAAGGCACTTTTAAGAATTTAAAAACAGCTAAAATAAGAACATAAAAATTCAATTCAGTGCATGTTTGTGTATCCTTTTTTTTTGATAAAGAATATATTGCCTAAGGCCAC